TCATGGCTGCCTGCATGTTGCTCAGCTCCTCAGGCTTCCCCTTGGCACAGATATGGGTCCCCACCCTTTTCTTGATGAATTTGGGGGCGCACTTGTCCTTGGAGACCTTGAGCAGCTCTATGGCAGGCCACTTGTAGGGGGCACAGCCACACACCTCCCGGATCATGTCCCGCACAAACTTGGTGTGTTTGGTAAGACATCCGAGGCGATGGTTGTGCCTCGGTTTGCTCACATTCTTAGTTACCTGTGGCCCTTGTTGAGGTCCATGGCCATGGGATAGCGGAGGGCCATGGCTGCTTTTCTTCAGTGGTTGCTGTGACGGAAGTGAAGGTTGTGTTCATACTGCTGTTATTGTATCATTGATGGCATATTCTAATTATCTGCTTTCAAACTGGCCTTCCCAGTAACCTGGGAGAATCTTGAGAGTTCTTAATCTTCTTTGGATCCTGAGAGCCTGACAAATACCTAGAAAATAGAAAGCGCTAAAAGTTTGTCAAATAAATGAAAAGATAATTCTCAAGGAGAAGGTCTTCTAACAGTACAAAAAATGGGCCCTGAGGCCCTGAAGCAGGACAGGGGCATCAGCATAGGAAGAAAGGGGGAGATAAAGAAAATATGTAGAGATGACAGTAATAGACTTACTGATTTGAAAGGAAAGATAAAGGAAAAAAACAGTTCACAAATGATTGCTCTATTAATAATTTTTTAATGAAAATCTAAATGAATTTGAAACTTTAGCTTTTTTGTTTGATTTTTGAGATAAGGTCTCTCTGTGTGGTACAGGCTGGGCTTGAACTCACCAGGGAGCCCAGGCTGGCCTCAAACTCGAGGCCTCAGTCTCCCAAGTGCTGAGGTTACTTGTGTGCATCAGCGAACTTCAGATTTTTTTTAAACATTGGATTTCATTATTAAAATTTCTTTTCTTTCTTTTTTTTTTTTTTTTCTGTATTTAGGACAGGGTCTACAGAGGCTACAGGGTCTCATTACATAGATTGGACTTGTAGTGATTCTCCTGTTTTCAGCCTCCCAAGTGTTGGGATTACAGTCACGCACCACCACACCCAGTCTCAGTTGCTATCTCAGTCTGCCTCGAGGATGGGGCCAGCACAGCATGCTGGGGATCGATTTGTATATTTTCTGCAAAATAAAAGACAGATGAAGGAGACAGGAAATTGGGTTTTGCAGAGATGGGAAAATTTATTTCCATTCCTTCCAGCCATGCATTCATTTGTTACATCTTATTTATTGTCACTTATTTTGCAATGTTTCTCATTGCTAATTATGCATATTGTATTTCAGTCCCTTAGATCCTACTTAAACAGCTACACGTATAATCAGAAATTTGTTGGGCATAGTGGTACACATCTGTAATTCCAGCCCTTTGGAGCCTGAAGCAGGAGGATGTCTTCAAGTTTGAGGCCAGCCTGGGCTACATAGTGAGTTCAAGGCCAGAATGAACCACCTAGCCAGATCCTATCTCAAAAAACAAAATCAAAACAAACAGAAGTTTACTTAGGAGAATGGGTTCATCTATGAAAAATTTCTTGGGGGGAAAATTTTTTTTTTCAGTGCTGGGGATCAAACCCAGCATCTCATGCATGCTAAACAAGTGCTCTGCCATAGAGCAGCCTTTTTATTTTATTTTGAAACCACAGAAGCACTTATTCCACTGAGCCATCTCCCTGGCCCCTTTTATTTTATTTTGAGACCGGCCCTCAGCACTGTGGGAGGCTGAGGCAGGAGGAAGTTCAAGCCCAGCCCTGAGCAACTTAGCAGTTTAGTAAGACCCTATCTCACAATAAAAAATAAAAAAGGGCTGGATATATAACTCAGTGGAAAGGCCCTGGCTTTAATTCCCAATACCAACTAAACAACAGACAAATAAATAAGTAGGACCAGGGATGTACTCAGTAGTAGAGCGTACATGACTTTGATCCCCAGCCAAAGTGCAACCCCTCAAACTAGATGGGTTGGTACAGGCCTGTAATCCCAGCTGCTTGGGACAATCACAAATGCAGTGCCAGTTGGGTAACAGTACAAGAGCTCATTTAAATAAACAAAAAACCCAAAACCCACTACATTTACATCTATTTTTTGTTGTCATTTAGATGAAAGAAACCACAATCTAAGATCTGTGACACTCAGATTGTTGTGTTAACATTATTCCTTAACACACCTATAAAACGCTTTCTACAGACATTTGTCTAGAAAGATTTTTCTTTTCTGTTTTGGAGACAGAGTCTTCTATGTAGCCAGGCTGACCTTGAGCTCCTAGTGGGTTCTCTTGCCTGGATATTTGTAGTAAAACATGCCACAACCAAGAGATAAGCCATCATGTTAGTTAACATGAAATTATTGTCTTCAATAAAAGAAAATTGCAAGCAGTATTTCCAAGTTGATGAGGCCCCACCAGTTTGGCTGAATATGAGTTCAACAATGTGATAAACTCCCCTCATGGTTTTACTGGCTAGTGTGCTCTATTTATACCTACCAAGAAGTGACGTAAAACAAAAGTTGTAATTATTATGGTTAACCTGGGCATCTTAGGAACTGAGGAGGCCAGGCATGGTGGTGCACACTTGTAATCTCAGCACTGGGGAGGCTGAGGCAGGAGTGCTGTGAGTTCAAGGCCAGCCCAGGCTACATACTGTACTACTTAGCAAGACCCTTTCTCAAACACACACACACACACACACACACACACACACACACACACACGACCAGGAACAAAGTGGTATAAACAGGCTTCTTTCTTGAAGAAAACCCTAGAAACTTGCTCCCCTTTACCACGTACCAGAAAATGATCTTTGGTTAAAGCCCCAAGTCATTATTTTTCTTTGCCGGAAGCTACAAAATTCACTATTGGAGTAATTTATTTTAGTAACTAAAGAAACCGTTTTAATATTGATAATAACAAAATTACTTATTCCAAACCCTATGTACCCATTTTATTTTATGTTTAAAATGCTTTTAACATTAGAATATAGCGTGAGACACAGATTTGGAAGGCTTGCTTTGGGAAGTGAGGGTATAGCTCCGGCCTAACGTGCTTGCTTAGGGTGTGAAACTCTGGATTTTATCCCTCACACCAAGAAAAAAAGTCTTCATTTCATTGTATAATTTAAATACTTTCCTTTTCTCATTAGCTAAAAACTCTCCAAAGAAAACTTCTCCGAGAAGAGACTTCGTTGCAAGAGACGAAGACTGAACTAGCAAGGTTCAAAGAGCAGCATTCCTTCCAGATAACGTCCCTGAGAGATGAGGTCAGGGGCCTGCAGGAGCTTATCACTTCCCTAGCCAAAATTAAGGCTTTGAAAAATTCCAGTATTCAGAGTCTTGAAAGAGGCAACTGGAACCTAACTAAACGAGTTACAGAACTAGAAAACCTTCTAAGGTAGGGCATTTCCGGGTTTGTTTTCAAGCACGTCTTTTGTCATATGTTTGTGCACAGTGTATGAACGCCATGCTGCTGGCTAATTACAGAATTGAAATCCAGTAAAATTTCATGCAATACCTGACTCAGCACTATTACACTGAGAAAAATACTTTACCTTGAGATGTCACACACCGTAAGATTCACCTGTTTTAAGCTTGTGTAATCCAGGGGCTCTGGCAACACCACTACCTAATTTGAAAATATTTTGTGATCCACAAAAGAAGTCCCACAGACACCTTAGCAGTCCCTTCCCAGAGAAGTGACTTTCTTCTAGCCTCTGACAGCCACTAGTCTTTCTTTCTGTGTGGATTTGTTTTTTCTGGACATTTCAGGTGAATGCAATTATAACGCATATCCCCTCTGTCTGACTTCTCTCACTTGTAAAATGTTTTCAAGCTTTATAAAGTTTGTAGCCTTAATTGCTGCTTCATTCCTTTACATGGCTGCATAGCATTTCATTCTGTGTATATATCACATTTTGTTTATTTCTTGATACCATCTTGGTTGTCTCTTTTATGAATAATCCTGCTATGAACCTTACTAGGCAAGCTTTTATATGAACGTATGTTTCATCTCTGTTAAACGTATGCATGAGGAGTAGAATTGTTAGGTTATATACAACAATTTGTCTGATTAAGCCTTTGAAGTTACTTTTGAGGACTGCCAGGCTGTTTTCCAAGACAGTAGGATGATTTTACACTCCCACGGACAATGTGAGGGTTACACTTCCACCATATTCTCACCAATACCTACTGGTTTTTTGTTTGTTTTTTTAATAGCGAATATAGCTCTCGTGGCTCTGCAGTTGTAGCTCACTGTGACTTTAATGTGCATTTCCCTAATGACTAAAGATACAAAATGAACATCTTTTCATGTATTTCTGGTCATCTAGATTCTAAATTCAACTTGTCAATTTCCATAAAAACGTCAGATGTAATTTTGATGAATAAAGGTTTTGTTGAATCGTCATACCAATATATAATGTTGCCTTCCAATCTGTAAACATGGAATGTTCCTAATTCTTTAGGGTTTCTTTAATTTGCTTTAATGCTGTTTTGTAGTCTTGTGTGTATATCTTTTGTTTGTTTGAATTAGGGTCTCACTACATAGTTCAGGCTGGTATTGAATTTGCTCTGCAGCCCAGGCTGTCCTAGGACTCATCCTCTTGGAGCTGGGCTTGGTGGTGCACACCTGTGGTCCCAGCACCCAGGAAGCTGAGGCAGGAGGATCACTGTGA